TAGAAAGCTCTATTTGTCTCAAAAAAATTACACAACAGCCTGACGGGAGCGAAACGCTCCTCGCCCATGGGGGACGCTCCTGGCTGAGGGGATGTGCGGGCGGGATTGGGGGGAGACTAGGTGCGCTTCTCTCTCTAGTCTATCTAAGTATTTTTCTCTTCTGTCCTTTTCTTTGGCTAATGTTTCTCTCTTGGTCTACTCTTAGCAGCAGCAGTACTGCTGCACGTCCTCCGTCCGTTGAGTAGTTGGTGAATGGATGTTCTCACCGGCTGCTACAGTTGTATTCGATAAAAATGAAAAACGTACGCGGCATTGCTGGGGCCCCACACTATATGTTTGAGATTACTGTTGCACTATATCTACTTGGTTGCCAATGGTGTGTACTTTCTGTGAATGTAACTGCGGATGACTCCGCCTATCCTGTGCTTGGCTGTATCTGTGGTGTTTGCCTTGCTTACCTTTATAAATAAAGAATTTGAGGGGGAAAAAAACACACAAGTTTGCATGACTGAGTTAAGCTGGTCATACACCTATAGATTATCTGCAGATTTTTTTTATGGTCATATGGAAAAAGTGCAACAGATTCCTCCATCGACGCTAAACTGTGTGGATAGAGGCTGTCTTTTCTGTTCTCGTTTTTAAATAGTTTGTCTTACTGATTGCTATCTTGGTCTTTTTGTTTAACTTTAGCCCTATGATATCTAATGCACTTGTTAAATATGTAACCAATTTAATTTTTTTACTAGTATGACCCTATGCCAAATGCAGTGAATCAAGCATGCGCTAAAGCTGGTCATATACTATTAGAATTTTGGCTAGTGGCTGAAAGTCAATTCCTTTAATAACAAAACCACAAACATGGGATCCACAATATAGGATTTTTGGCTTGCCTGTAAATAATTTTCTTGGAGTACAGTATTATAAACCAGGATCACAACTACAAAATCCTGTGCCCTAGACTACTCTTACCCCTTATGATTTCCCTGATGCATGTATCCAGGAAAGTGCCAAAATGGAGTTGCCCTTCAAAGGGTATTCTCCCAACCAACACTTCTCTTCCCCATAGTTCTCTTAAGGGTCACAGCTCACCCAACGCTCAGTATATCACGAGCTACAGCTCGCGGTATACCGAGACCGCGGCAGCCGGGACGGATCCCGACATTACTGTCAAGATCCACCCAGCTGCGTGACAGCTGGCTCTGGCTATCTAGAGGCAGAGCCAGCTGTACTCTCCCCCTCCCCCATTCCTCCAGTCAGCGCTGGAGCATCGGAGCGGAATCCCTGGAGGGAGCCGTGACCGACAGTCACGGCTCTCTGCAGGGAAATGCTTGAGAAGTGAGTATGTGTTCCCTCACTTGCTGATCTATTGAGCCGACACGTGACAGTTTCATTCTCACAGAATAACAGACACCGGCACTCCAAGTAATGAATCAATGGCGTCTGTTTATTGACGCATGAGACATAGCACAGTACATCAAAAAGCAACGTTTCGGGGTCTCACAAGATCCCCTACATCAGGCAAAATAAATGATGTCACACGTCGGTTCGAACTATGAGGTTGAGTGATTTTCACTCACCTCATAGTTCTCCTTTAAAGAGGGTTTCTAACTTCTTGTGTACTGGGTCCATGAAAATAGGAACATCTTCCACAGGTATTGTTAAGGCAAGAAGCACAGCAACAAGAACGATATCTGTGATTTCCTTAAGTTTTGGAGAAAGCATGTCCTCCTGGTCAGATTTCTCATAAGCAGATGCTTGTGTCTTTGTCCTCTCTTCCTCAAGCAGTGTATTGGCTTGAAGAGGGAAGTCCGTCACGGACACTGGAGGAGAGATTGAAGGGGCACACTTGTGATCTCTAAGAGTGGCAATCTTAACCATGAAATCTTCCTATGGTGGATGAAAATGTATCTCTAAAAAGATAGTAAGAGGGGTGTGTGTCTGAGTTACAGAAGCTCCAGAGGAAGACAATCTGGCTGTAGGGAGTGGTCAAAACTGAGGGTGCCAGGGTCTGTAGCAAGAGTACTGTGCATCTCCCCCTTCCCCAAACCAGTAGCAGAATGGGAGCTTGTGAGGCCCAGCCCTTGCTCCCAAGATCTGACATGTGCAAGTTTAGATTCACCCAACACACAGCACCCTTTTAAATGAGGGTAGAGCAAAAAACCCCTCAACTTCACTCACTTAGGACAAGGGGCTTCAGGGACAGGTTGACCCATTAGACCTGTACAGCACCCTGTGACTAAGCCAACATGCTGCACTGTGAGCCAAGGGCTTATCAAAGGAATCAGTGTGCGAAGCATCATTACAGGCCTTCTCCACATCTTTCTATTTGGTGAGGGCTGGGCACGGTCCCCAACACTATTGCCGTGACATCGATCAGGCAGTCTCTCCTGCTAAATGTTATCCAATTTTGTAGCCCTTCTCTGGCGTTGTTCTAACTTAATATGGCTTTGTTCTAACTTAATATCTTTTTGTAAGGGAGGTCTTTGAATGCATCCTCCACATATCAGGCTCAAAGGCAAAATGCTCCACGCATATGAGCAGACATTACTGCAGTGTGAAAGATAATTAGATGCCTCGCAAATGCAGCCTAGCACCCAAACATCTGATTTACCAGTTTTGGAACAGGAGGGGTTTTACACTGTTGGAAGAATCCCCTTTAAAAGGATATGACCCATTGTGACATGGTTTCACAAATAGAGGCTGTGGCCAACAAGGACAGAGCAGTTCTAGTTAAGTGTAGGTAAGACTTTAATAGGGAGTGCAGATGTATATCACAGGAGTCCCTAAAGGTAGATACACCATGTACCCGTTTGGTGGTGTCTGTTAGGGTGAAGAATTGGAGGGTCCACAGAAGGAAAGGATTTAATAATAGATTCTCTATTAAAGCGGAAAAGGCTTCATGACAGCAAGCCCTACATGTTAATCCCTAGATCAGGAGTAGAAAAACTTTAGCCCTCCAGCTGTGCACAAAAAGTTCAGAAGTGGATATTAGGATGCCTAGAAGACTCAGCGTGGGTCTTTTAAGCTCAGGTAACAGAGCTATAGAAGCTGCTGCTGTTGACTACCTTATAGAAACAGGAGTTTCAGGATCCAGTTTACAAGTGTTGGTAGCTTCTAAGGATTACCAGTGAATCTCTGTCAGAAGTAGTAAGGGGGTATGATAGAGTTTACCAGTTGCAGTGGTGCTGTTCTCTGAATGTCTTTTAAAAAGGAGAAATTTTTAACTGCCTATTGGTAAAAAAACAAAACAAAACAAAAAACTAAGCCAAAAAGCTTTGTGTACTCACAAACCCAGGCAGTTGGTACTGAGGAGGGTTGTAAGCAGTCAGAAGTGATCAAGTCACTGTAGGCAGGCAATGGAACAATACCATAGTAGCAGTGGGAAGGTGCTTCCTCTTAAGTCGAAAAGTGGACACAACACCCCACCTAGTGGATGATGTCAGCAGACCTGGGGGAAAAGCATCCAATCTCATAGCACACTAGCAATACACTGAAGGATGATGTTTTGGGGCAAGGATATACAGGACTGGACTTAAACAAATTTTCGGTTTACCTGAGAAATCGATGCCCCTTGCTGGTTGATAAAAAAAAATCTTTCCAGTTGTAGTTAAGTAGGTAGCATTTCTTGGTCCTACAACATTAAGGTACTTCAAATTTCTACTACAAAAACAAAAGGCTTTCTTATTCACTTCTATTGCATATCATTTCTCAATAATGTGAGAAGCTAAAGCTGTGATAGGTGGACGAACGCACATTTTCCGCTTTCAATCAACACACTTATTTAATACCCTAATAGGTAGAGCACACCTATTAAAAAAAATAACCTAAAACACATGGCAACAAACCTCAGCGTGACTTCACCCAATACTAGAGCTATCAAACAGCACTTTACAACAAGCTTTAACCCCTTCGTGACTGACGACGTACAGTGTACTTTGCCAGCATCGGGGCTGTTTAAACAGACTCCCGGCGACTTTTGCACATGTAGTTAAGACCAATAAAATTATATTGATTGTGAACTAAAGGAACCTGTCAGTCACCAACTTAAAAAATGCAGGTAAAGTACAGAAAAATCAAGCAACTCTGACCCTTTTTAGGGCATTGACCCTCAGGAAACTAAATTTCCTAGCATCATCCCTCATTACAATCTCTCCTGGGCCAGTTCCTCCACCCATCCTCTTACTACATAACCTTTTATAAAGCAGCTGGGGGAAAAGCAAAAAGGCACTACTATAGAATGTCAACATTAAATCTTCTGGGGCTGCTAATGTCACAACCAAGATTGCGGTACTCAGCAGAACCTCAAGGCTTTTGGATGTCTACACAAGGGAGGAGGTAAATACCATGCCAAAATACATTAAAAAGGCACATATAAGCCTATAGGAAGAGCATTTTTAAAATGAATGGTCTTGCGATAGGCTCAAAGATTTAAAAATTCAGGAAACAAAAAAATTGTACATGTACTGATAGCACTGTTTCCTCATAGCAATGGACTTATTTTTTTTTTCAGAAGAATGGGAAAGGAGTTTCACAATATGTTCCCTTTTTTCCCCCACCATTGTGTACATATTTCAAGGAATGTGTCGATCAGAAGAACTCATGTGCCTGCACACCTAAGCTGAAATCGCTAGAGAACTAATTGAATGAACATATTAAATCAACAGGTTATGTGGTATAGCTATTTTGCATGTGAGTAGCATATACAGAGAAAGTGAAAAACAAATTGCATGTCCCGCACACATTTGGCACTATAAAAGGATGCGATCACCTTTGAAATTAAGTTTTCAGACACATGAGTTAATGGAGCTCTAAAGTAACTGCTGAATTCTAGAATAGACCAAAATAGTCCTGAATTCTGCAGTAAATAAGTTTTAACTAATGAAAGTTAAAAAACAAAATTTGTATGAATATACTAAACCACTGCATGTTTAAACATTTGCAATGTAAAAAAATGCACTCACATTAAAAAAAATTCTTTACTTTCCATGAAAGAGTCATGAAGTAGGTCATTTAAAAATGGCTGCACATTGTTTATGGAAACACAAATACAAAGTTTATGATAGCAAGCAATCAGTCTTTTGTGGAATTAGGAAGCACAAGTCTCTGCCTGCTTGTTTAGTACAGAATGTCTGTGATCATCAGTCCTTTCCTGACAAGAAGCTGCTGTTTTCCTTTTGAAGAGACGCAAGCTTAATCTTAGAAGCTCGCTGTCAACCAGTGGAGGATTCGAGTAAGTCTGCTTCACAGTGCCCTGGTAGAAGAAAAAAAAATAAGGTCCAATTTATATTGGAAAAATGTTATACAAAAAGAAAAATACACATACCATATTTTTCGCTCCATGAGACGCACTCCCCCCCCCCAACAGGCGGGGGGAAATGTGTGTGCGTCTTATGGAGCGAATCCCTATCACCCGGGACATGTAGTTTCGGGCGCCGGGCATAGTTTTGGGTACATTTAGCCCTGCTAAAGCAGAGCTAAATGTACAGTAGGAGCCACTGCTCGGTTAATACGAGTGACCTAATCAGAACCTAGATAGAGCAGACAAAGAACGGACGTTCTTCGTCTGCTCTGTGTGATCACTGAGACCGTGGCGCTGTAATCACAGCGCCAACTGTCTCAGCGGTCACTAACTGCAGCTTCTGTGACAGAAGCTCCGGTCTGTTCAGTGCTCCATAACACGCACCGGACCTCCCTGCATCCTATGGTCCGGTGCGCC